AATTTTTTCGTCCCCACTTAGTCTGAATATGATGGATATATATAGATGAAGAGGTTGGGTAAAAGGCATGGGTTTGGACCTTGTACAACACATGTCTTTGATTTGTTTAGGAAATAAGTTGAAAAGTGATGAAACAGTGAATATTTGGTTGAAAAATAAACATGCACGGTTTGTATCTTGGTCTTGGGCCCCCAAAATAATCAAATCAAAAGCCTTACATGCCTTACACATTTATCTAATATTTATTTGATTTAATTTTGAATTTAAATAAATAAAAATAAAAATTAATGAAATAAAAATAAAAATAATGCATGCATGGATTTAGAGGTCCTCCAAGGTGTCATGAACACGTTTGGACTTGAAAACTTAGGCCCAATAGTCCAAAATTACAAATTTTTCTCAATTTGGAGTTCATGCATTTTCTCAAAATTGCCCAAATTGTGCAATTCATAACTTGCTCAATTTTTGCCATATGAAGATAATCTTGGACTTTTTGGAAAGCTCAAGATGTCTCCTACAACTCTCATGCTGGTCATTTTACCATTTGAAGATTTTAACTTGATGTAAATTGCTTTGACAAAAAGTGTCTTTTTGTTGACTTTTAAAATGACATGTAATGTTTTGACTCATATCTCTCAAATGAAGCATTTTTGGTCTTGAGCTTAGACAAACAAAGTTGTAGAGAATAGAACTTACTTCAAAATGGACTTTGGTTGAGAATTTTCTGATGAAGTATGTAAAAGTTATGATTGGTCAAAGTTCAGTTGATTTCTCCTTAAGAAAACCCTAATTAGGTAACTTTTGACTTTTGATGAATCTTGAGTTTTCTTGATGAATCATGATCAACCCTTGATCAAATAATGAATATGAGTTCAAAATGTTGATGTTAACCAAAATCTTGAAGTTTGACTGTAAATTGGTCAAAATAGACTTTTTGTCCAATACAGTTGATTTTCACCCATCTGGCTAATTGACTAAGAAAACTTGTGCTGCAAGGCTTGAAACTTGACATGAGGATACCTTGAAGCATATGAGAAACTATGAAGTCCACTTGAGGCATTAGAAGTCCATTTTCCTTTGAGAAAACTAAACCCTAGTTGTAGGCCACTGCTTAAGAGGAGGGTTCATCTAATCAATTCTTGAATAGTCTTGAGTACTTGAGAACTTTAGGAGCATGAGAAGGTGTGATATGGTGGGAGAACTGACTTGATTGTTTTGCATTTTATCGCAAATGTTGTGGTTAGCAAGAGTCATCACCGACTTTTCTTTTATCCAAAAGGAAAGTCTGAAAAGAACAGGAAAGACCTTTGAGATTTCTTGAGTTCGGGGGATAGATTATGAAAAGGGAAGGTGTTAGCACCCTTTTCATTCATAGTTATCTATGGGATCTTAGTTTCTTGCTAGATCACTTGCTTTTGTTTGAAAATGTGCTTTGTGTGGTTTTTGAAAGTATTTTAAAAAGGAGCCATCGTTTAGGCAAACTTTGTAATAGTTCTCGTTCGTAAGAGCGTATACAAAGTGTTGAGCTTTTGAAAATGTTTTAAGTTTGGAAGATATTTTGAAAGTGTTTTTGAAAGTGTTGGTGTTTGTTTTGAAAATAAGCAAGGATGTTTGTTTTGAAGGTGAGTTAGCAACTAGGAACAATCTACCTACTCAAAAGTCTTTGTTCATTTCTTCCTTTCCTTTGATATTGCTATCTTACCATTTATTGGTAAGAAGCCTTATCTTTGGATGTAAAGGGACGGGCATGGGTCATCGTATAGCCATGATAGCAATATTGTGAAATATCTTAGCAATTCTCTTTGAGGAACTAAGATCGTTTTGAAAGGCAACATTTGATAGCGTCATCGAGGGACTATGATCTTGTATTTTTTATTGCTTTTTGCTAAGATACCCCACATGCATAACATGGCCATTTTTGTAAGGAAACAAAGTGGAATTACCCTAAGGGATGCAAGTGTGCAAGTATGTTGATTTACATGCTTGTTTATCTTGAATTAAGGTTTGCTAACTTGTTGATTTTATCTTTCCATACAAACCCTAATTTACTAGCATTTATATAAAACGGTAAATTGCGGAAAGTAAAAATACTAAGCTATTACACCATTAGGGAAGGGGGTATACAAATTTACAAATGGGGATTTTGCAAGAAAATTAAATCTAATTAACTATTACAACCATATTGAATAAATATACAAGAATTGAATAAATAATAATGTCCAAATGCAAATGGATAAAGAAATGATTTTTTTGTTTAGATTTTTATGAAAGGGTTTTAACCTAATTATCTAAAAGAAAATAATAAAATTAAACCTAAACTAATTAAGAAAAGAAATTAAGTTTGAAAGCATTTTTTAGGGTTTTTATGGAAGGTTTTAAATTATGAAAATAAAATGAGAATTGACTAATTAAAATAAACCTAAGTTCTAAATTATTTTTAAGTAAGAAAATAAAATAATATAATAATTAAACCTAAGTCTAAAAATTACTATACGAGAAATTAATTAATTTGTTGAGAAAATGTTTTTGGTCTTTTTTGTTTTACAAAGAAAAATAAATAAATGTAAAAATAATAATAATAATATTTTTTGGATTTTTAATTAATAATGATGATAATAATAGTAATAATAATAAAAATAATAAAAGTAATATGAAAAATAAAATAAAATAAAGAAAAAGAAAGTGAAATAATAAAAAGGGCTAGGAGTGTAAACATAGTCAGGGTGTTTGAAAATAAAAAAATGGAAAAGTCCAACTGAAGGGGCCTAGGCGCTGGCTGAACAAAAAAAGTGAAAAAATTGTGAAAATGCACAAAAGGGTACCACTAGAGCTCGAATCCAGGCCCCTCAGGTTATATGCACGCGCTTTAACCACTGGGGTGGTGATACATCCGTTAACTTAAACAAAACAACAAATATATGATACAAGTCTTGCCCCGACTGTACTTCATCTTCAACCTCCAGCCAAATGATCTGTAACTTATTCATTTCTCATCCATTCACAAAACTTCCAACATCAAACTTGTTAGAAATTTCCTCACGATTCTGAATATGTAAATAACTTAATCACCATTAGTAACATGGTTAACTTGTCACAAGTGAGATCTTGTCTAGTGAAAAGGTGGGAGCAACTACAAACAAACTTTTAATTTTGAATAAATGCAAGTGTGGTCCTAGGTGTAAGTTCAAGAACAAAAAGCAAAATCCCCTGCTAGAGTTGAAAACTAAGTGGTTGGACCATATGAAAAAACAATCAAAATTTGAAATTAGGTTGACTAACTTGATAGAAGAGTTTTGTCGTGATAGGGAGTATTAGTGATCAAAAGAGCATACACATTCAAGAATGTGCTTCAGGACTGAGTTATACTTGTTTTTGGGACAAGTCCCTTGATAAGATTTCTGAGTTTGAAAAAGGTTGGTCTTGTTATACAGGGGATGATTACTTGGAAGATGTTATATTTGTCTTAGCATGTCGCATCACCCGAGGACATATAATGGTTTAAGTTAGGGGATGTGTTAACCCACATTTCGTGAGTTAATACATGCCTTTAGTTTTTATTAATTAATATTTTTATTAGTTTAATAGTTGTAATTTCCTGTATTTTAGTTGTTTTAATTTGTTTAGCATTGAGCACAATAGGTGCTCCCTTTTTTATTATTAATGTTTATTTTTGTAAGTAAATGGATAGTAGAGACGAGATGGAGCAAGACTGTAGTGGTCTGTTGCATGGAGCAAGCTGGAGAAGTTAGAAGGACTTAGAGAAAAAGGGAAATTAATAGTGCAAGCAGGTGGCTGAAATGGATAGCATGCAACGAAGAATAAATTCGAGGGAACACTTTGTTGTGCTGAAAAAGATGAAGAAATAATTCAAATGCAAAGCACAAGGGTGTAGGTGCTAGAGGACAAAATCGGGTACAATAGTATATTGCGTAAAGGACAGTGTGTCGCCTGCACCTATTGTGGCAGTCTGCCACCATAAACATTGTCTCCCACCATGGCCTCCTTGTACCAGATTCCTTATTTGCTAAGCAACTAATGTTTTGCGTTGGTGCTACTTTTTGTATGGGCTTGGTGTGATTTCTTCATATTAGACCTATTGATCCAATGCAACATAAACCATAATACTTGTTCTATAAATAGAGTTGTAATGAGAAATGAAAAGAGTTCAGTTGTTCTAATAGAAAATAACAAGAGTTTAATGCATGGATAGTGGAGTGTGATAGAGTTCTCTTCTCCCCCAATCATGTACCAATTGATGAGCAGTGGCGCGGCTGGAGGTATCTCTTGAAGGCTAGCCGTCTCAAGTCATTTTCCACGTCTCTCTTAGGTTTATATCTTTTTTTATTATTTATTGTTAAAGATATGTTCCTATTGAGAACCATGTTAGTAGCTTGTACTCAGCTCACTATGTGATAAACCTTTTGTAGTTGAGAAATGTGAAGTTAATATTAAAGTTTTTTATGTTATATGGTGTGTGGTTGAGTGATTCATTTTATTATATGTTAATCTGGTAATAGCTTACTTCTTTGCTTGATCATCTTAGGAGTAGATTACATCTTTTTATTGTGAGAGATTCACTTGCTTAGCTTACTTATAGATAATAAGCTACATCTATTAAGGACTTCAGAAGACTAATAGACACATATTAGGATTACAAGTGATGCTTAGAGATTTGTTCCCTTGCCCTTGTGTTATACCCTAAATTTTACCCTGAATTTTGTTTCACGTTCTCATTATTTATATCCAATTTATTTTTTATTCAAATTATTGCATTTTTCGCATATTTTTGCACTTATTTTTCTTATCTAAATTTCACTCAATTTTACTTTCTTGTTACTTTATTATTAGCATTTTTCGCATATATATATATATATATATATATATATATATATATATATATATATATATATATAATTTACTTTTAATTAATATTTAGTTTAGTTTTAAAATTTGTATATAAAAAATTGTTTATTTTGTTTTATATTTAGATTTGATTTAATTTAATTGAGAGATATCTCCATACTCTCCCTCAACTTCATCTTCAAACACCATAGTCTCGCTCTAGTTTTGCTACTCACCTTCAACACCGGATCAACCAAACTTCATACTCCTTCTGTCTCCTCACCAAATACATCCGCCGCTCACCTCACTTAATTACCATCTTCATCGTGAACCTTACTCCCATCGTCGACTGTTCTCTGCTTTGCAAACCAGCATCTTCAACGCCATCGATTCCATCAAGAGTTCCTTCGCTGTCAACATACTTCATCGATCTCTGACCCCTTCTGCAGCATTCACTTCTCCGTCTGCTTATCAACACCACCAATCCCATTCTGCTATCTCACTGAACCACCAAAACCCAGCTCTTAATGGTTGATTTCTTTGTTTTTAGACTGCACATCTTCTCGAGTAAATCAATGGATTTGGTTGTTTAATTAACAGTTTCTCTAAATATTCTGATCATCACATGTATATATTATATGCGTTTTGTCGTTGCTGCCCGGATGCTATCAATGTACTAAAAATCTTATTTCAACTCTGGTCTTGCTTATTTTCAAAATTTAATCTAAGTATACTTTGGGTTTATTGAATTGATTTTGGTTTTGATTAGTTTAAAATAAGCCAATTGAAGTGGTGTTGTGTTTGAGTTTGTTTTGAGACGTAGAATGAGATATTGGTTTCTAAATGTCTTTTATCATTTACTTTCTTAATTTACAATTGATGTGTTCCACATTTGAATTATTGTCTTTGTTTTTACTATTTCATCCATGTATGTAGTTGATTTTGGTTTAAATTTACATGAGATTAATGCAAGTTTCATTCAATTATAATTTCTCTTGCGTTACTAACTTGTTTGTTGGTTTGTGCAAGTTCTCAAGACGAATTAAGTAGTCGTTTCCCTTTCATATCTTTTATTAGCTTGATTAATCTAACGTTTATTTATTTACTTGATTTTGTTATTAAAAATGGATTAGTTTACTAATTTATTTTTTTTAATTCGATTAATTAAGTTAATCAACTCTCGATTAATCGGTTAAACTTTTATTTCATCTTAATGTTATTTTGTTGCTTTTAATTAATTAACTAAAAGTCGATTTAGTTATTTAATTTCGTTATTAAAAATTAATTAGTTCCGACTAATTAATTTTTCTTAACTTAATTAATTAACTTAATCAATAAAATGCGGTGGCGACTTCATTGAGTGAGATAAGTCAATTGATGACTTAATCTCAAATTCTTTACCCTAGATTTTTCGCATTTTACACAGTGTGATGCCTTGTTATGCATGCTTTGATATTATAGAGATACACCATAAGATCACTTTGACCTCACCAGTCACGACACCACACGTCATAAATACATGAGTAACTAATGATATTAATGGAACATAGCTCAACTAAATCACTCTTAATATATTTTCACTTCTTTTCACATTACCATTGACATCTGTTTTAAGTGAACTTGAACTCACAAACTCCAATTATTATTTCTCTATGCTCATGCTTAAATCAAAAGAATAGTTTCCATATAAAAATCAAATCTAAGTAAAAACACTCCTTTTGGGTACGATACTCTTAACTTATTACTTATTACAATCACAACTTATATACTTGCATGTGACACTCTTTTAATAATTGCAAACACATATAATGTGTTATAAGTTGTATAGAAATCACATAAATGTGTTGAGTCTATATTTGATACACAATAATCTTGGAATATGCTTAAGCCATATTAGAACGGCATAAATGTGTTAAGCCTATATTAAAAACATATTCATGTACTTTATCTTTGTTCTCCTATGCTTCCTTTCGTCGGTGATCTGAGATTGGTTGGACAGATTTTAGAATCTTTGATTGGTGGCTTTCTTCTGAAATTCAGGTTGAAGATTCCCCGTGCTCCGAAACATCCTTTTGGTTGGACGGTGTCTCTTCTATAGACTAAATACTAAACCGTCTCTTCTGGTTTCTCCAATTCTACAATACGATGAAGACTTTAAATATTATATTTTATATTTTATATATATTTTAAAAAATTTCAGTATAATTAATTATTATAAGAGAAATAAATAATTCATATATATAATAATAATAATGATAATAATAATAATAATAATAATAATAAATATTATTATTATTATTATTATTATTATTAATTTTTATAAGAATATTAATATATTAAAATTTAAAAAACGAAGAAGAAAACAAGTGTAAGTAATGGGCCAAAGCCCAAATCAATCCACTGCGCCCATTCAATTTATTAGCGTAATTCTTTAATATAAAATAAAAATAAATAATCTTGGAAATTATTTTTGATTATAGGGTATATCAGTAATTAAAAAAAAAGGACTATGTAGTTAAAGAAACACTTTTATTTATAAATATTTGATAGTTTTTAAAAGTAGGATTAAAGATTGTTGTTAGCTCTAGTTAGAGAATTGGTTAGAATTGAATAGAAAAAAAATAAAAAAATATCAATACTAAGATCATTGTGTCATGAGAATTTCTCTTTATATTTATTTTATATTTATTAGTGTAGATTTTTATTTCTGAAAATTAAAAAATATTTTTTTGATAAAATGTGAAATATTAAATAACTTTAGATATATATATATATATATATATATATATATATATATATATATATATATATATATATATATATATATATATATATATATATATATATATATATATATATATATATATATATATATATATATATATATATATATATATATATATATATATATATATATATATATATATATATATATATATATATATATATATATATATATATATATATATATATATATATATATATATATATATATATATATATATATATATATATATATATATATATATATATATATATATATATATATATATATATATATATATGAAATATATCTGAAGTCATCCAATGTTTCAAATTTATTTTGATTTTATTTTGAAAAAATATTTATTTATAATATAATTAAATTGATTTATTATTAATAAAAAAAACTTGAATTTATAATTAAAAACTAAATATTAAAATAAATTTATGATATAAAATTAAACAATAAATATAATAATTAAATTTTTAATTATAATAGTGAAATGTAATTGTCTTTTAATTATTTATTTAACATTATGAATAATTTTTTATAAAAAGTACTAAAAATTTTTTTTTTAATTGTAATTTTAAAAGTTAAATTTAATTTAGATGAAATTTTTTAATTATTATTATAAAATTGATAATTAATTCTTATGTTTAATTAGAAATTTTATTATATTAAATAAATATTTTTATGTAAATTAACAACTAATTTTCCATTTCTAACACACTAAAAATATACAAATTTTATGTAAATAATTGATAGATAATATAATTGATACACCTTGATTTTAATTGTTGGAATAACTCAGATATATATATATCTGAAAATTCTCAAAAATGAAATATTGGATTATTAACTCCTTGAAAATGGAATATTGAATTATTTTTGATATACATATCCGAAAACACTTTTAAAAAATTAAATTTGATTCGTTCTGGGCATTCTAACCATGTATACAAGGCTTTGCATATTGCAAGCTTATACTTCAGATTGATGGTACCTGGTTATATGGTAAGTACAAGGGTATACTACTAATGGTGGTAGCATAAGATGGAAACAATATTATCTTCCCAGTTGCATTTGCCCTTGTGGAAGGTGAGACAGCGAATGGTTGGGATTTCTTTCTAAAGAACTTGAGAATGCATGTAGTTCCTCAACCTGACCTATGTTTGATTTCTGACAGACATGCATCTATCGAAAGCGCATAGGACAATCCTAAAAATGGTTGGAATAATCCTCCATTTGTCCATGTCTAATGTATCATACACATTGCACAAAAAAAGAGATCAATATGGGTAAGTATCTTTTATACAAACATTAAATGTTAGTTAATAGTATACCATATCATTAACCCATATTTTTTATAACATGTAGGATATGCATTAAACCAACCAAAGTTTAGATATTATCGTAATGAAATTGGTATGGCTAGTGGTGATGCTTTAAGGTGGTTAGACAATATTCAAGTTGAAAAATGGACGAGGGCATTTGATGAGGGTCGTCGTTGGGGTCACATGACAACAAACCTTGTCGAGTCACTGAATTATGTATTTAAAGGCACTTGTAATCTGCCCATCACAACATTGGTAAGTTCAATATACTGTAGGATGGGAATACTATTTGCTGACAGAGGTGCAAAGTGGAGTGCAATTTTGAATTCTGGACAAACATTTACAGAGAGGTGTATGAAGGTGAAGAAAGAAGAAGCAGTTAAATCCACCACGCACCAGGTAAGCATTTTTTACTACAACCATAACACTTTATGTGTGAAGGAGATAATAGACCACGGTGAGGGGAAGGCTATGGGACGTTACAAGGTCAACTAAACAGATCATTGGTGTGATTGTGAAAAGTTTCAAGCATACCGTGTTCTTTGTTCATATGTTATCGCTGCATGTTTTGTGGTGCGCCAAGACGCCTATCTTCTATTGCCTGATGTTTACAAGGTCACGAACTTATTCGGGGTTTATAACACAAGCTTTCTAGTTCTACCGTATGATGAATATTGGCCCACTTATGAGGGAGATCAACTTTGTCATAATCCGATCATGAGGAGGAACAAGAAAGGTCGCCCGGTGAGCACACATATTACAACAGAAATGGACATGTATGATAAGTTGGAGAGAAAATGTGCATTGTGTTGTCTTTCTGGTGACAACCGAACGCGATGTCCCAATGTAGGAATTAGTAACAATTAGTTTTTTATTTTGTTATCAAGCTTCAAAGTTGTATGATATAATGACGTCAACCTCCTCAGTTGTATAAAAAACTACGTTTGAAGCCTACTAATACTTTTGCATTTAATATAAATAATAACTCTAAAAGACAACACATAAATAAAATACTTAGACAAATAAAATTACTTAACAACAACATTTACCCTAAACAACATCAACATGTCCAAACAAAATGCATAAACGTTTCTAGGATATTACAACCATCAACATAATATCGACTGGTTGAAGCATCATCGTAAAGACACATGCATCGTTTGTAAGCGCTCTCCAAGAACGAGTTGGACCATTTAGGTCGGGCACCATAACTAGCCTCTCAATTTTCTGGATCTTTTAACCTTCTGAGATTTCTTCCCCTAACCACCCGGCCAAGTGCCTCTGAAAATGCTCGAATGTATGAGTGTTGAAGAGTTTGATCTTCATTAGAGGCTTTATAGGAGGAAAAATTAGTTGAGCATCTCTTTTCATATAAGGCCACGTTGGGAAGTC